ATATCACATTAAAACACTGATTTCTATATGAACACAGAAGTTAAGCATCATCAAACCTGGTCAGTACCTACATGAGTGACCACTTGTGAATACCAGGTGCTGTGAGAACTGGTATGCAGGTAATGTAATGGCTTGGAATTGTTAATCAGAGAGCCAAGTTCTAATTTCAGTTGGGTGCATTATATACACTTACATGCAAATACTCTTGAGAAATACTCTTCTCCCTACAAGCCATGGATAAATTAGTAAGATGTGTATTACTAAAACCATTATTATCTTCCCCCTGAAAAACAAATTGCATACAAAATATTTAGATTTCAGCATTAAATAACCCATAGAAGTTGATATGCTGCTAAAAGAAAAAAAATCTATCGTCTGCTAATAGAATACTTTGTTTGTAAATTCTTTTCCATTTCTACTTTCAACTCCTTTTGCCTAACTTTCCACTTAGAACTGAGTTTCTATGTGATAAGCATATAACGCTGTCCATTTATTTCCGCCATCATCTGTAAACTTGGTCCCCAAGAAACATGTGAAGATGATAGTATTCCTGCAAGTGTCCTTAAGAAATGGGTCCCCCTGAACTGTGCCCCCCCCCCAATTCTCTCAAAGCTCTATGATAAATGCTGAGCTTCATGATTTACTTGAATAAAAAAAAACAGCATGTTGATAATGAATTTGATGTCCACTTTTCAACTGTTGCCAGTAGTCAATCTGATCATGTTGACAGGGTTACAGTCAGGTGACCATTTTTTTTTTCATTTGGTCCATGTGATTTAGTGTTTAAGTTGTACAGGTTGGTTTTATCATGCTGCAATCAAAAGTTGAGCACATATACTTAACTTGCATCATTCTAAAACACTCCTGCTTGCTTGTTTGTTGATCAGCATTTGGGAAAGCTTGTCTGAAGATATGCTAGATAATGTTTCAGCTGAGACTGTCAGTCAAGGCTTATACAAGAATGACAAAATATGGCAATAAAAACTATTGAATGGGGCCAGATGTGAAGTGTTATCTTATTCAGAGGGACACTCTGACAATATGGACTACTGAATGGGGACATACGTGAAGTGGTATCTTATTCAGAGGGACACTCTGACAATATGGACTACTGAATGGGGACATACGTGAAGTGGTATCTTATTCAGAGGGACACTCTGACAATATGGACTACTGAATGGGGACATACGTGAAGTGGTATCTTATTCAGAGGGACACTCTGACAATATGGACTACTGAATGGGGACATACGTGAAGTGGTATCTTATTCAGAGGGACACTCTGACAATATGGACTACTGAATGGGGACATACGTGAAGTGGTATCTTATTCAGAGGGACACTCTGACAATATGGACTACTGAATGGGGACATACGTGAAGTGGTATCTTATTCAGAGGGACACTCTGACAATATGGACTACTGAATGGGGACATACGTGAAGTGGTATCTTATTCAGAGGGACACTTTCACAATATGAGCCACTGAATGGGACCAGATGTGCAATGACAGTTTATTTCGGAGGGACCATAATTCTCAGTTGGAATATTTACCTTTTTCGATGTTATGAGATTGATGAGTCTAATTGAACTAATCTATTGTAAGACATTTAAACATGCTTAAAAAAATGTCCTCCCATACTCAGAAAGTTGAAAATGTTATTCCATATTTATTAACTGGAGAAATGTAAGAGTCTTGACTGCTTTATTGGCCAAGCCTCCAAAAACAACTGAGCAATGTTAAGCACAAGTGTCATGGTTGAGAAGTTGATATCAACATTTAGTGAAAGAACTGGATGTTAAATGCGAAACTTTGAAGGCAAACAAAAAACTGAAATAACCATTACAGATACATATTTAAATTCAGAGAATCGTGGTTACTGAAGTGGGGGGGGGGGCAGAACAATTGAAAATCAGTCAACTGAAACAAAAAAAAATCTCTGATCAAGTGTTGAAAGTTATTAATAATTATTTTAGAATTTTCAAGTAACAGGTTACAGAGTTTAAATGAAGTGAAGCAACAGTGACTTTTCAACCAATCAAATTGCTCCCTGTCATTAACTGCACTCCAGAATATGAGAGATTAATTAGTGAAGATGTGACAGTTTTTTGTTTTTTTTTCTTTTAATCATTTCAAGCAAGGGGATAATGCCACTAAGACATAAAATGTTATTGGGAGTAAAATAAAATTAGACTTTAGTAAGGAGAAAGGACAACAAAAGAACAGTTTAGGAAGACAGATGATGATTGATGTTGCATTTATATTTTTTAAAACTAGGTGGTTTCTCATGTGAGAAGTGCGAGAAAAGAAACTATTAAAATACAACTTATGGTTATATCTAACTAGTTCAACAGTAAAACAATGAGACCTAGTTGCTAATCTAGTAGTGTGCTTAAATTACTAAAGTCAAGATACCAAGGAAGAGAGCTCATTAGAACAATTGGCATGAAAATATAGCAAAGACACAAGGAAGTTGCATGACATTTGTGGGAGATGCCATTAACATTAGAGGCCCTTCTTTGGATTTTGTCAAGAACCTTGAGATAGGCACTTTCAATTCCTGCTGAGAACTGTATTTTCTTTAAAATGTCTTGGCTAGTGGACATTAATTTCACTGATTAACACCCACTGAAATAACATTTATAAGAAGAAATGATGGTAATATTAACTGTTTTCTTATAAGGAAACATTTTGTATTCATTGACTAAGCAGAGAATACTACTTTTGATTGAAATTTTAAAAAAATCTTTCTCTTAAATAGGTTTCTTAATTCCAGTGACTGTTATCACTCTTTTCATTATTGATAGTGGTTTTGTTCATAACCTTTTTTGAAGTAGTGTGAATTGTCAACGTCTGGATTATGTCATTTTATGTTTAAGTTACATGTGATATCCATTTTAGCTGTTGCTACTGTTAAAAGTCCTCAAGTGATGTGGTTTCTGTTATCTGGTACAGTTCTTTTGTGATTTTGTATTGCCTGTCCACAATGTTCAAAGAAAGATAGTCTTTGCCAAGACCCACATACTTCATTCACTGAAATCCCTATGAAAGTCTTCTATTTTCTTTTTGTGTTAAATCTTAGTTTTTGCTACTGTTAAAAGTCCTCAATTGATGTGGTTTCTTTTATCTGGTACAGTTCATGAGGTTCAAAGAAGTGTAGTCTTTGCCAAGACCTACAAGCTTCACTCGCTCATTGATCAGAGAAAGTGGTTGCATACAGTTGGCAGTTTAGATATTTCTGAACAGGTTTGGTACCATGCATTGTATCCATATGAAGGTCTCTATCTGACAAGACTATTTGTAAGGAACGAGAAGAGTTACCTCCTGCAAAGCGAATTTGCTTGGTGTGTCAGATCCTGTTGAAAGATCGTGACCGGCATTTAAAGTGCAATGATTATTCCGAAATTCCTATCTTGCGGGCAGACGTAAAAAGACTAAGAATTCAAACCAGCTTGAATTTATAAAATAGGAAGTCCTGGGCAAACGAGAAGTAACTCTTGTATGCAAATTTTAGTTGCCCTGACGCAGGCATAAATAGTGAGTTTGTGAGGAAGATGGCAGAACTTTTGTTGGCATGATGGCGTACGTATGTTACTGATGAGAATGATAGAATAAGGAAGAGGTCACTTGCGACAGCTCAGTGGGTAGAGCGGAGGACTGGAGAGGAAAGCAAGCACTTTAATCCATTTCAGTCATTGCAAACGATGGGCAAACTGAATTACCCACACTGTTTAAGAACATGGCTTTAGTTTTAAGATTAATGTTTTGATTTTGTAGCAATGTGTGGTGTTAGGTGAAATTCTCTCTAGTGCAGGCTGTTCTATGTTCAGTTTCCTTATCTCTTATACTAAATATATTCTAACTGATTAATGTACTGAGTATTTAGCATTTACTGTATTAAAATGTATCTAGTAGATAATGATTGCTGGGGGTAAAAACACAGTGCCTGATGTCAAATGATAGAACAAAGATAGATTGTGTGTGGCAAAAATAATGTCCTTTTTTATTTATGAACTTTTATTCAACAAAAGTAAATTACAGTAGTTTAAGGTGGCATAGGTTTAACTATCACTTATGCATTCAGGAATTGTTAAACTTTAATTTCAGGCTGTGGTAGATAGGACAATGTGGAGCAATTGGGTGCCTTCACAATCACCAAACCTAACACCACCAGGCTTTTTATTTTTTTGTGGGATGTACTGAAAAATCTTGTTTACAGGCTCAAACTGAAAACAAGGAATTTCTGATAAATTTTCTGAAATTAACGTGGAAACATGTCAACTGATGTTTCTGGTAGGGTTCAGCATTATATTGAACATAAACTGGAGAATTGTGGATATGTTAAATAGTTAATCATAGCAAATGTTGTTTTGATATGACAATACTTATAGATTTTTTTTAAGCTACCGTAATTTATTTTTGTTCAAGAAAGGTTAATAAGAAAAGTGTGCTTTATTTTTACCACACCCTATATATTAAAAAGAATGTCCTTGTTTCTTAGCACATGATGCTATCCCTTTTCATGTACGTGGCAATCATCAGGCAGATTATGCCTGATGATTGCCATACGCATGCAACTTTGAGTAGCATCATGCAGTAAAGAAGAAATCTAATTCTTGTATGGCAAAGCTATATTGAATTCCATACAAGTTAACTGAAATGTTACCTGTGTGAGATGAGTTCTGCAGCTAATACCATTTGTTTCACTGATGTGCGAAAGTCTAATACCATTTGTTTCACCGATGTGCGAAAGTCTAATACCATTTGTTTACCGATTTGTTTACCATTTGTTTCATTGAAAGTAAAAGTCTAATACCATTTGTTTCAACCGACAAATAAAGTCTAACATGTTGACTTACAACAGCTTGCTCATTTTTTATATATATATATATATATATATAAATGCTAAAAGGTATATAAGAATAAGAAAACATAAAGCAGGCACCGTTTTAACGCCGCCTTTGCTTCCTTTTTGTGTTATGTCCTTACAATTTTGTCCAGTTACACACAGAATGGGATCTTACACATGTTAGACCGAAATCGAAGGATAAAACCAAGGCCAGAGAGATTTCAAAACACTAGGGAACAGTTTGATGTCATAGTCTCCTGTGAGGAGAGAGTATACGACCAAATTATAGAAGGTGAGTAGGCACCATTTATTAAATTGAACATGTGATTTATAACTGAAATAAAAAATATTGGTTGTGATAATCCATATGAAGATAATCACTCTTTTTTGCAGTCAATTTCTATCACTGTATGCACAATCACTCTTTTTTTGCAGTCAATTTCTGTCACTGTATGCACATCTAAATTTCTTACTCTCTCTCAAATACTTGATACTCTTCTTCCGTAATTGTTACTCACTATTTCTTTGTTTTTTTTTTTTTTTTTTTTTTTTTTAACATTTCACACCAAGTAAGGCGATAATGCCACTAGGACTCAAGAGGGGTTACAGGAAGTGAAAGAGAATGAGATAAAATGAGGAGAAAGAACAGTAAAAGAACAGGTTTCATGAAGACAGAACATGGCGATTGCATTTAAACTTTTGAAGATTATAGGTGACAGGGAAGCAATAAGTCAGATGTAAAATCCACAGGTGAGAAGTGCTATAAAAGAAACTATCAGAATAGAACTGGAAGTTGCATCTAGTTTGACAGTAAAACAGTGAGACCTAGTTGCCAATCTAGTAGCAGACTTAAATTCATGCAGACAAGGCACCAAGGAAAAAGCTCATCAGAAGATTGGCCATGGAGATATTTGAAAAGACTGAGGGAAGAATTGTTGGATAAAATGTTTCATTTGAATATTTAATGAAAGTGATCGTTGGATAAGGATGTCATGAGTGGAAGTTTTTTTTTTTTATTACTTCATTCAATACAAGACCCAATTTCTATCACTGTATGCTCATCTAAATTTCTTACTCTCCCTCAAATACTTGGTACTCTCTTTCAATAATTGTTCACTATTTCTTCATAGAGAATGTGACTTCATAAGTTTTGAAATAACTCTTTTAATTAGTTGCCTATATTTAACCTACCTTATTTGAAAAAGTAACTTTGAGTTTTAAATAGTTGCTTTTTTTTTTTTTTTTTATCATTTCATCCCAAGCAAGTTGATGATGCCACTAAGATGCATGAGGTTATAGAGAGTGAAAAGAATGAGAAGACTTTAGTGAGAAGAGATGAGGAAAATGACAAAGGAACAGGTTTCAGGAAGACAGAAGATGGTGATTGATTTTACATTTAAATTTCTAAGTTTGTAGGAAAGCAATAAATTGGGAGTTCCACAGGCTAGAAGTGCAAAAAAGCTATTAAAACCGGAATGATGATTTTGTTTTTGGATATCTTTATTCCAGTCACCTCTTTTATTAAAAATTCATGGAATTTCCTCTCACCCCCTTTATTTATACATCAAGAAGTCTAGGACAAAATGTCTCATTTGAATATTTAGTGAAAAAGCTTGTTGGAATAAAGATGTCACAAGTGGATTTATTTTTTTTTTTTAACTTCATTTAATGCAAGGCCCAAGAGCCACTAAAAGGTAAAGGGTTACTGAAAGAGGTTGTTGCATATATGTAAGAAGAGAAGGTTGCAGATTATGAGGATATGTAGGATAGATAATGGTTGACTAGATTTCAAGAGATTAAGATTGTAGCAATTGTGGAGGCATCCATGTGGGTATCTGTTCCACAAAGTACCAATTCTTTGGAAGAAGCTGTCCAGATATGACCATCTACTTAACAGTGGAATATGAATGGAACAAGGATGAGTTAACCCAGTGTATTGGATTATTCTCCAATAAAGAATAATTCTTCTGGCTTTGAAACTCGGTTACCTAGAAAGTTGCAATTCAGAATTTAGTAGAGCTGGTCTTTTTAAAGTTGCCAAGAGTAGAAAAAGAAATTCACTTGTGTACTGGGGAGGGGCACACGCACATATTCACAAAAATAAAAACATTAGTTAAAAATATGGACCCCCACAAAAAATTTTTTCTTAAGACAATAGTGACCGTCAATATATTTTATTTTTAAAACCAATTAAAAGCTTTTCTAATAAAATAATGTCATAGTTTTATTGCATTTATTTTATGATTCAGAAAAGATTTTCAGTAAATGGTGTTTGTGACAAAAATAAATTGATGATTTAAATTCTCCAAGAAGTTCTGTTTTTAACTAATATAAATATGAAGAGGCTAAAATTTTAATTTCTTGAAATTTCATAAAATCAAGTAACAGATGTTTAAAAAAAAAAAAAAAAAAAATTTTTTTTTTTTTCGAAAATTTAACTTATTTGTGAGTAAGTACTGAAAATTTCATTAAAATTGGACAGTTATTTGATTCCTTGGATACAAAGCCCTGAATTGATAATTTTTTTTCCTGTTTGTTTATTTTTGCTGTTTTTTTGTTTTTTTTAATAGTAGTAGATAGGCTTTCTTATCACCCAATCAATACTCCTCCCCCTTTTCTTGAACAGCAGTATAGGATCATCTTCTGTTTCCTGTTTAGGAAGGGGTCCCCGGATCCTTTCCTTTTCTCTGGCCTTGAGTAGTAGTGCTGTCACGAATCTCTTGTGATGTGGGCAGTTTGTGGCAACATCTCTTCATACTGAGGGTACTGGGTGGCAGTTTTCTGGTTGCTGTTCTGACTGGTAGTTAGGAGCCCAAACTCTTGTGTAGCATCTTGAAGGGCTGCTCTGATCAACATTTGCATAATATCAGGGTTCTTGCAATGCCATGTCGTGCATGGACGGGTATCCCTGCATGCACCTCTGGTGGGCAACCCCGAGGCCACACCACGTTGCAGTCTGCACCAGTTCCTTTTTGCCCATGTTACATTTGATGACCAATTGCTACTCTTACATTAGGCCTTTTCCTTACTAATATAACTCATGACCATTATCAACCAAAAATATAGATGTAAACCAGCTCATCAAAAATCACCTAAACCCCTTTACCTTTCCTTCTCCAACATTGGTAGTATTAGTATCAACTTCTGCAATGTGGAATCATTCCCCTTCAAAAAGTCTCCTTATATACTAGCTCTCTGCAAGACTAACTTTAATTCATGAATCCCTTCCTCTGATTTATCAATTCCTGGCTACCGTTCTCTCTTTAGAAAGGACTAAAGTCCATGTGCATGGCCTGACAGTTTATGTCCGTGGTCATCTCTTACTGGCTAGGGTATTTTTGTTTTTGAATCTCCAGTTGTATAGGTCTATCTCTCTTTAATTCAATAAGCTATCTCTTCTTTCGCTACAGTGTTCCCCTTTGTCCCAAAACTAGTGTGCTTGATAGTACCTCTGATAATATGGACAAAACCATCTCTCTGCACCCGTTTGCAAACATATTTGTGTTTGGTGACTTAAACACCCACCATACTAGGTGACTTAAATACTCTGTCACTGACCTCACTTAATTTTTCAATCACTTAGTCCCTCATACAAGTGGTTGACTTTCCTATATGTTTTTCCAGTAACCCTGACAGTAATGCTTGCCTTCTCAATTGCTGTTTTACCGCCATCCGTAACTCTTGTCATGCTATGCAGTTCTGCCCTCTTGGCAACTCTGATCACGGGGTAGTGTCTATAAACATCTCATTCCACTCCACCTCCTGACCAATGAACCCTTTACCAACAGAATCTCTTTTTATCAACATACAGACTGGGACTTGATCTATGATTTCCTTTGTGACATCTCTTGAAGTGTAGCTTTTTGATCATCCTGTTCAAAAATGCGCATCTGAGGTCTCCTCCTGGGTAAAAGTCGGCATTAATGCTTTCACTCCAGTGAGGAAATACAAAGTTAAATCATGCTCATTACTTTGGTTCTCACTTCATTGTTCAGCCACTATAGCCCATAGGAATCACTTCTTCGGTCTGTACTGGAGCAACATGTCTGATTGCAACCTTGTCTGTACTTGTAATGAGTGCACGTGTCCCCTCAATGAAGCAAAGTTGCTGTTTGCTGATAGTGAAACAACGTATTGCATCTCGCAAGTTTGGTTCTCGAGGTCATTGGCGGCTCTGCAAGAGTGTGCTGAACAACAGCAAATCCTCAATCCCTCCTCTATTCAATTAATATGAAGTCCTGACACCCACAGCAGGTAAGGCTAAATTCTTTGCTTGCAAATTCTTGTCCAGCTCAACGCTTGACCCATCTGGAGTGCCCACATCTGATTTCCCTCCTAGAACTGAGGCTCTACTGAGTGATATGTATGTAACCCTGTTGTTGGTCTCTGACATCATTTCTTAATTAGACTCTCATAAAACAAGCGGTGGTGATGGATACCAGCTCATCCTAAGAAAATGTGCTCCCAAGCTGGCTTTAGTTCTCTCCAAACTATACAACTATTGCCTCACTGATTCTTGTTGGAAATCCACCTCTGTAGTCCCTGTTTTTAAGAACACTGGAGACTCTTCTGATTCCTCTAACTACCACCCTATCAGTCTCCTACCATTCTTCAGCAAAGTCTTTGGAGCTTTAATCAATGTTAAAGTGGTTAAGCATCTTACCTTCTGTAATCTTTTTTTCTGACAAAGAATATGATTTCTGCTTTGCCCTGTCTACCACTGATGTGCTTATGGCTATATAATAATAGCAAAGCTCGCGCTGTGGCTCTAGAAATCTGTAAGGCGTTTGACAGACTTTGGCCTGCTGGTATTCTATGTAAGGTTCGGGACTATGGTATTGAAAGACAATTATATGATTTAATCCAATCATTCCTATCAAATTATAAAATGAAGGTTGTCCTGAACGGGTTCTCTTCCAGTTCCTTTCATATGAACACTGGTCTTGCCCAAGGTTCTATCCTGGGTCCTATATTGTTTCTGATCTTCTTCAATGATCATCCTGATGTCATTAGTTCTCAAGTAGGAATCTATGCAGGTGACATTACCATTTACTCCTGTGTCAATAGCAAACCTGGCAATGCTGACAAAGTTAACCTAGCTCTTGGTCTCGAAAAGGACCTTCAATCAGTGGTTGATTGGAGCCGGAAATGGCTTGTAAATTTTAATGCCTCCAAAATGAAACTGATCTCATTTAATCACCATAGACAAACTTCCCTGCCCCCTATTAACATGGTTGATGCTCGACTTCACATGAGAGTTTCTCACTGTGCATTCTTTGCCTCACATTTTCC